CATTAGCTAGCTCGTTAGATAATTTGAAATTTGGTGTTAATCAAAGTATTTACAAATGATTTATTCTCGGAAAAGAATTCAAGGCAAAATATTGACCTTACAGTTGAGGAAGATTTGTGAGTTTAGTAAGCCTGGCTCGAGCTTGTGACCAGAGGTTGCTATTAGTCACTGAGAATTGCACTGACTGAATGTTTCCTTTATTACCCACCATACGAAATGATTTAGGAATAAAAGGTTAAATATTGAGGCCCTCGGAATAAGTACATTCCGAGAACCATAACTTGAGTTTTTTTTATTTAAATTGCTTGGCCGAATTCTCTAAAAGGAAAGTTACGAAGCCTCACACTTTTATTCAGGTACGCGCTCTCATTTATAATGTGAAAAAATGCTATATATATTCTAGAAAATTAATTGAAGACGAAATGTTTTTCTTTTTTTCATTGTGGCTTGCAAGTAAAAAGGTGGCATTGATGTTGAAACGGTCACTCATATTTGCAACTTCAAAAGCACGTACAAACACGGATGTAGTGGAAAAATGTACATTTGCACACACGCACCTTCGTTCGTTCCTGACAGCATAAGAAGTAAATTAGGAAGGCGGAAAACGGTCTCCTATGAGCCAGTGATGCTGTCGGTTAATATTAGCCCTGTAGCATTGTTGAGCCCCATCCACACGCTCAAACTTATCGTCAGTCTTGCACTCTTGCATATCATGCCAGGTTTGACCAACAAGACGGAGCGTGTGGACGCTTAAAGTTTGACGTCTTGCATGACGAGTGGGCGGAGTTTGAGGTTTGGCGAACCTGGAAAAGACGGACGGGCGAGACCTTTGGATTCCTGCAAGACTTACGATAAACTTGAGCTTGTGGACGGGCAACCGACTAATTGGTCAAACTATTACTCTATCTCAGTATATATTGATGTTGAGAGCTGTGACATTGTTCCTCGCTAGCTCTAGTTTTTCATATCTCAAGAAATCCGACACTGGTTTCTCATTTTCTTTTGGTGAGTTTATCGAATTATATCGTAGTTGCCATTGTTTGTAAAAATTTTCAATCAAAAAGCTACAGTGACAGGAACAAAAGAGCACTGGCCATTGATTGCTAAGTGCATAGAAGTTGATCCTACAGCAAACAAAGACTTTGTAGTAAAGAAAATAAACTCTTTATCGAAAAGATTGTGCCAAAATGAAATCGTCAATGCTGTCTGGTGCAGATAGGGATGCTGTCTATCAACCCTCATTGTGGTATTTTTTCAAAACCATTTCTCATTTCATTTTTTAAAACCGCGTACGTTTGCATTGCTTCAACCTAATTTGGGTGGCACAAACTGCGATCACTGCAGCGAGCAGCACTAGCTCCTCCATTGCCGCGAACGCACAAGACTAAAGGAAAGTTTGAACGTTTGGACGCTCGTCAGTCTTCCGTCTTGTAGGTCAAAATTGACATGACATGCAAGACTAACGATAAGTTTGAGCGTGTGGACGAGGCTTATTACACAAACATGTCAAGTCAATAACCCCCGCGGCTGTGCCTCAACAATTGTACTTCAACTTTAGTTGATCATACCCCACAATAAACATTTTTAAACTACATTTTTGGCTCTTTAATACTTAATTTATGTTTTACATACAAAAAGACAAATTGATTACGAGGTACCTATGTATTTCGGTATCTACGTATTTCGAGTGACAGCGAAGCAAATCGTAAGCTCCTGCGCCATCCAAACTGCTTCAGGAGTATCTTAACCAAGAGTTTGAAGAGTTATATTCCATACCTTAAAATGAAGTCACTCACTTTAGATGTTGTTTGCACGGTACGATACTTCCACAACCTGCAAGAAAAATTGAGAAGGGCATGGAATCTTACCTACTTAGCTAGCTGACTAGTCAAATTGTTTGTTCACGGGGACAATGGTGGCGGTCAGTATACTATAACCTTAATTCAACCATGAGAATAAGTATCAAATTTTAACCGCCACTGTTTATCGTCCTAGTGGCTTCGTGTATAGGTGCTACTGGCCACAGATGGACCCAGTAACCCTTCGAACAAGGCCAGTAGCCTGATAATTAGTCGCAGCAGGCATTTGAAAGTTTTACTATGCGGAAATACTGTAGACGTGAAAAAGCACCGTATTAGTAACAACGGAACCTCTCGACTACGACTCACCATCTGGCACGAGTCTTGTGGTGAGTAGACTAACCGTGTCCGACACTTCAGTGAACTGGCCTGCGAACTCGAATGCTAAACCTAACTTCATTTTCAACTCTGGCACTCATAAATCTTTCAATAATGAACGGATTTTATTCAAATTTGAAATATAGGTAGATAATATCAGTAATTTGCGGACGGAATTTTTTCTCATTTTTACATCGATAACTTTTTTGTTAATACGGAAAACCTAACTTCATTTTCAACTCTGGCACTCATAAATCCGTCAATAATGAACGGATTTTATTCAAATTTGAAATATAAGTAGATAATATCAGTAATTTGTGGACGGATTTATTTCATATTTTTACGTCAATTACTTTTTGTTAATGCCACAAAATACTGAAACTTGACCTGACTAGGACCTAACCTGCGAGGTGAACGTGAAGTTAGGTTTTCCGTGATAATATTTGAATAAAATCCGTTCATTATTGAAGGATTTATTAGTGCCAAGTTGAAAATTAAGTTAGGTTTTCCGTATTAAGAAAAAAGTTATTGATGTAAAAATTTGAAAAAATTCCGTCCGCAAATTACTGATATTATCTACTTATATTTCAAATTTGAATAAAATCCGTTCATAATTGACGGATTTATGAGTGCCAGAGATGAAAATGAAGTTAGGTTTTCCGTATTAACAAAAAAGTTATTGATGTAAAAATCAGAAAAAATTCCCCCCGCAAATTACTGATATTATCTACTTATATTTCATATGTGAATAAAATCCATTCATTATTGACGGATTTATGAGTGCCAGAGTTGAAAATGAAGTTAGGTTTTCCGTATTAACAAAAAAGTTATTGATGTAAAATTCAGAAAAAATTCCGTCCGCAAATTACTGATATTATCTACTTATATTTTAAATTTGAATAAAATCCGTTCATTATTGAAGGATTTATGAGTGCCAGAGTTTCGAGCTCGCAGGCGAGTTCGCTGAAGTGTCGATTCGGTTGAGTAGACACGAGTTCAGTCACGTATAATGGAAAAACTTTGAGAATCACAACCAAATAATAAATTGAAACGAAATTCCTTCTGTTAAATGATTAACAGCCACCATTGACCATGTTATACGAAATAAATTATTTGATAGGACCCCATTCATAATTATCACTTTCTATAAAGCTCAGTGATGCCTATTTCTGTTAGCCAACTATTTACTTGACAAATTTCGAAATTACAGGATGGACTACATTGTTTTCTGAACGAACTCTATATAAACTAAGTAAGATCTGAGCACTTTACAACTGTGAAACAGCAACCGTGACCTCCTCGAAAATTTCGAGATGCACAACATATGATCACTCACGATCACAGATTCAGTTGTATGGATCACTATTACGAGGTTGCCGTGTTTCTCCAGTATCGGGGCCCACCTAGGAATTTGTAGAGAAATTTTAACGTGGAGCTAGGGCAAAAACATACGTCTGATCACCGGGTTTCTCCAGTTTCAGGGACATGCTAACTTGGAATTTCCATAGTTGTGTGAAACAAAGTAGGAATCAAACAGTGCAAAGTCAGAGTAAAGCAGTTTAATGGAGTAAAATACGAGTAAAAATTACGCAATCAGTGAATATATTGCGTATTTTGTCAGCACCTAAAAATTAACAGTGAATCGACTCGTCGAATGAGTGACGTAGAAAAATGTTCATTTTGTATCTTATCTCACGTCGGCTTAGATCAGCAAATATGTCAATTAATAGGTTTTATATATTTGTATAAATTATTCGATAAAAGTCGATCATCATTTGCCTGACATTTGCACCGTTGACAACAGCATCATACCACCATTTCATTCCTCTCAAATAGAAAGGTTTCATTATTATGCAACTTCTGCAATAATAGAGAATCGCCATTTGCCTGAGATATACACAGTTGAAACATCATCATGCTATAATTTCATTCCATTTCAACGTTATAGTTCCATTAGGCCTGCGGAATTTCGTTCGCCCAAGCCCGTAGGTCGACGCGAGGAATAGCGTTACCTCTACAGGACCTTGGACTGTTGCTGGAAGAAGAGGAAATTCAGATTATATTACTCTACTCTTCAAAGAATCTTTTCACTTTCGGTCCAGAATAGTTGAATCAAGATTTATCATTCAAATTATAGAATTAAATTTTTTTTCGATAGCAGCTAATAGGAAAACATGATGGGCTGAGAACTTACAAGCTCTGATTCGGCAAGCGGAAGGCGAGAGGCTGCACCCCGTCCAAGTTGTCGGAATTGTCGCACAGAATTCGAGCCCAAGAAGCCTTACGAATTTCTTGCAGTTGCACTGGAAACATAAGTTAAATTAATAATCCAACTGTTGAGAGGGAATACAATGTTAATGCTAATCAAATATTTTCAAACTTCATAAACTGACAGGATAAAGCCAATCATGGTCATCGTCAGCTGAATGCTGAGTAAATTGTCGGAATTGCCAGCCAAAATCGTACACTGGAAGCCTCACGAACTTTTTGCTGTAGTACTGTAGACGAAAATTCAACTTCGAATGGATACGAGAATGCTCCCCAAGCACGGTCTAATAATTGTTTCGACCTTTTACACAATTCTAAGGACTAGCGCGGACAAAGTGTTTACGTAATGATTAAATATTCCGTGTTTCCATCTCTGTCCTGAATTGTTTTCATTCCCATAAATTTTGAAAATTAAAAGTGTACTCGGGTGTGAGAATTTATTTATGCATATTTTAAGTTAGCCGTCGTACTGAAATGAAAATCACTGAAAATTTTATCGACTATGATAGATTTTACCTTCGGAGAAGGACCCAGGCTGACCACCGACATCGTAGAAGAATCTGTCTCCCTTCTTGGCGCGCGCGAACTGGTCGCCCACAACACACAGGAACGTCCAGCCCAACAGCCCCCCAGACACGGGCTTCTCGGACATGCCGCCCACGAAGAAGTCGACGTCGTCAGGGTGCGCGTAAATCTGGCTCAGTCTGCAATACAAGCAACATTAAAAATCCGTATATTTGCAATACAAGGCACATAAATATCTGTATATTCGCGATACAAGTCACATGAAAATATGGCTCAGCCTGCAATACGAGCAACATGAAAATCTGGCTCAGTCTGCAATACGAGCATCGAGCAACATAAGAATCTGGCTCAGCCTGCAATACGAGCCATATAAGAAATTTGCAGTACAAGCAACATTAAAATCTGGCTCAGCCTGCAATACGAGCCACATAAGAATTGGTATTGGTATTTGCAGTACAAACCACATAAAAATTGGTATATATGTAGTACAAGCCACATAATAATCGGTATGTTTGCAGTACAAACTATACAAAAATAGGTATATACAGTACAAGCCACATGAAAATCGGAGAAATATGCAATACAGTCCACGTAAAAATCTGTATAATTTTAGTTCAAGCCACATGAAAATCGGATAACTTTGCAATACAAGACATGTGAAAATTGTAAATTTTCGTTCGAACGCAAAAATAACATCTACATATCAGGCTCAGGCAGTGGCAGAAACAAGACATGTACCAAATCAAGTTACACGGCAAAAAAATGACAGCTTTAATTAAAGTTGGCAACATCGAAATTAGAACACAAAAATTGGTTTGAAGAAGTAAAAGAGATGAAAAAATTTCACGGAAAAATAGAATGTTAACGTTTAAATCCAGAGAGAAATTCAATAAAAATTCGGAAACTTGGATAACAGTCATTTGTGCTCAAACTTTTTGCGAATAACCGTGTTTTACTATATATGCCATTGTATTATCTCATATAACAATTTTTAAAACATAAATCAAACTGCAGAAGATGGTTCTACTCTACTTTCGAACGATTTTGTAGGACAGGCGCACAATATAAAGTCCTTTAGATACACAAGATATTTTTAATTGTCTACTCCGCACCGCTCATGAGGTTGTGCGAGATATGCAACAGGACGGAGGGATATGCATAAACTCGTGGCATTTGCATGGTAGCAAGGATACCCTTCAAGGGCAAGAGTTTCGAATAAATCTGCGGCGATGTCACAGATAAAATACCACGATGCTTTCCGTGAAGCAATGTGGGAAACAAATATGCTAACACGTTTACGACGAAAACAACTTTAATCAGAGAGCTTTGCGTTCATTTTTTAGCGCATTTTCTCATTTATGGAAAAAATGCCCTATTGTGCTCGTCATGTCCGTCCGTCCGTGACTTCACGTTTTCGTCGACGAGAAAATACGCTCTCTGTCACTCACTGCAGTGAGTACTGAATTATGTTTTTCTGGGGCCGTACTTTCAAAACTCGCTAAGTGAACGTAAGCACTTACGCTCTATTTTCTTGTCTATGATTGGTGGATTTTGCTTGAAAGGCCGTCAATGATTGGCTGATGAACTTACGATCTCTTAACTTTTTTTGAAAGTATAGGCTCACTGGAGGTTACCTGGCGACGATGTCGCTGGGGATCTGGTCATTGAAGCCAGCAAAGTCCCGAGCGCGCGGGAGACCGCACACCTCCCTGATGGCGTTGTAGGGCGCCACGCCGTGGTCACGTCCTCGGTGAAGATTCAGGCTCATCAGGTCCATGCCGAAGTTTTGCTGAGGCGTCTGGTACACAATTTTAAGGATTAAAATGTATTTCTACCCAATACACGAACACGACTGAGTACCGTGTTCATTCATTATTTACATGTGCGAATTTTCTACTTTCTGAAAGCAGGTATCAAAGGTGTTAAATATGATATATTCTCATACCTAATCGGTATTTTGTAGGATCTTGACAAAAATTCGAGCATACACTTATTAGATGTATATTTTATTTCTTAGATGCCTTTCTATACATAACTTGGAGCAAATAACACAAAGAAATGAATGCCAAAATAATAAATTAATATGGAATTAGGAAATAGTTTTGATGATACCACTAGGCAAATTATAATAACGAACACCGTCAGTGCTCGGCCTCGGGTCAGCTGTGAGGATAGTGTCTAAGTTTACGGATTGTATCCACTCGTGATGGTTTACAATTTCAATGGAGAAACAATGAGGCTTTCGTATGATTAATTGCTAATTATATAACTTATAAGCAACAATTCAAAATAGGAATACGTAGCTATGCATAAATGACAACATTACTATCGATGAAATTGAACACAATCAACACGTACATCACTGAGAACCTACCAATCAACATTGTCACCTGGAAGAGATGATTTGTTAGGTCATTAGTGACGAACGAATCGAACTTCTGAATAGCTTGCTGGGTGAAGGAGCGCGAGAACATGTCGATCACCCCAGGTACCGTCTGGAAAATGTGCGGCGAGTTGAAGTGTTCACGCATGCGGATGGTCGAGATGCGGCCGTTGGCATCATAAAGGCTGCGACAGATACATTCAATGTAACCATGACTTTGTTTCAATCGTTAGACAGTTAAAAGTAAAGTTACGATTAGAAGGAAGTTTCTATAAAAATGAAATTACTGGAAAACAACAAGAGGTCAGTTCGAGAGGGCAGCTAATCTGATATGAGGACTCGCAGCCGTTGGAAAATTTCAAGAAGTGTCACTAACATCCTCAAAAAATTTTTCAGCGGGATGTTTCAAAAAATGAGGGAACATTCAAGTTGAGGTGGACCTTAACAAAATGTTCGGGTTCGATGTATTGCTATTAAACGCACTTGATGATGCCTTGTACGAGTGAATGCCCGAATCTAAATGCGCTAGTGGCGAACTCGTTGTTCATGTTCGGGTTAATGTTGAAGTTGTAATCGAAGCTGTAACCGGTCCGCAGAGGATTCAACCCGAACGACTGCATGAAATTTTGACCTGCAAATGATAACAATAGGTAACTCGCTACAAAGCCAGATATTTTAATGCAAAATCCTTTCTGTAGCAAAAAACTTAAAACGTAATACTTTTATAGCTATAAGATATATCCTAGGGATTAAATATTTTGTCTTCAGTTACGCTGAAAATTTTAAGAAATATAAATAAAGTTTTGCAGCTTACCGACGATGATGGGTAGCCACTCGTTGAAAATGATGTGCTGCACTTCAGCGACGACGATCCTTCGAGCCTCCTGGAAGAGAGCCTCATCCGACCAGCCAGGATGCATCTGCTGGAGGCCGCGGGCCACGCGGTTGTGCTCGCGGTGGAAGAGCGTGTGGATCGCAGTCAGACCAGGCTGTTCGTTTACGCGAGAGTCACCTGCAATTATTCCAGTAGACAAACTTTCAGTTTGAGGATGTACGACGAAAAAAAAACAATTCGACGTTTGCTTATTGAGGTTGTACGTACATGGAACAAAACTAAGCCAATTTTTTCCTCAAAAGCTTGAGGGCTTTAGAACATTCGGACGATTGTTGATCAGGCAAATGGGGTAAAATAAAGTTTCTCATGACGAATTTACACGATCATTGAAGTTTCATTACTTCCAGAATTCACGCGAGGATGGCGCGTCAATGACACTCGTTAAAAATTTTCTCCTGAACGCCACAAGATCCCCCCAGGTAACACGTACCAAGAGTTCATTTAGGAACACCAACCCAATGCCATTCTGGAAGCACCACCTTTGGACGGCGACCAAGCGCCTTCCAACCGCGACACCGAGAAATGAATTGAGCTTCCCAAGGCTTGACCCAACGCCTATAGCCCCTCTCATATCGGTGACGCTATCACTGCGCATACAGTGGCATGATTGCGTTATGACATCGCGCCTCACCGGCGTGGTAACATAAAGCTCCTCGCTGGCGAGCTTCGCAATCACCGCCGCTCCGTGGGTCAAGAGGCAGAAGGCCTCCGTTGCTGAGGCGCATGAGGCCAGCTTGGTTCATACGCAGACGCTGCGACTGGTCGATCGTGGACCCGTAGATGTTGGAGCCGTCAAGCCAGTGCGTGACTTGGTTCATCTTTAATAACAAAATTTTTTCATTATTAGGTTTAAGAAAGCGAAAAACAACGGAAGGAAGATTAGACTAAAATATAAACAATTTAATATCTGCAGCTGAGCTACAGGCATTCAATACAATAATGCTTAGTGTATTGAGCTACATTCAATACACTAAGCATTATTTGTACGAATTTCGATAAAACAAAAACTCATTATTGGCCCAGACGATAAAAAGACTCGCATTGATTTCATAGACAAAAGGAACTATATGTTCAAGTACATAAATGTAGATAATAATAATAAGGCCTTTTAAAAAAATAACGAACCTGCTCAGCATATCCAAAAGCGCACTCCTGGTCGAGGCCCAACATGCTTCTGATGAAGTTCATGCACGACCTGCCCCTCGGGGCGTAGAAGGGATCATCCCGTGGGATCCTGATAGGCCAGCATTGAGGGTGGCGTTGCGGTCCAGTCGCTTCCCGCCCATTAGGGCAGCAGTCGATGCCCCGACCATTGGCTGCTCACACACAATATGCAAGAAAAATCATTTCGAAATAACGAATTTCGTTAAAAAAACGAGACAATTTTTCAATTAATAACCGCATGTTTCATTGCGCGATGAAACCTTTCAATCCGTTTTTTGGCGTACATTTCCGTGCATGTGAAATCTAAATATATACATCAAAGAAAATTAGATGTTCAATACTTTATGTTCTGGCTTACTTTATTGACAATTTAATTAGTTATTTTGGTTATTGTTCTCCGAGTAAACGTAGAAAATAGCCATGATCCAAGTTTAGACAGAGCCTCGCTTGCATCAACATGTTTTCTGAAATTTTGTTGGCATGGCCCCATTCGGCGTTCGATGAAATGGCGCTCGAAAAACGAACGTTCGGCGTTCGTTTTTCGTTCATTCGGCAAGCCTTTGAAAATGAAAGAATCAATCAAAACAAACAAAAAAAGTATGAATCAATATTTTTGTTCAGGTTACATAGAGCAGACCTCTTTTCGGGTCCCAGTTCAAAAGAGGAAGAAGTTACGAGGATTAAGATGGCCAGTGCGTAGGCCAGATGAACTACGTATATGTTCCCCAACTGATAACAGCAGCTTGGAACTTCTTCAAGGCCATCATCAGTCCTCACTGCATTTCTTAGTTCGCGTGGGGTATCTTTTAGTTCAGTTTCAGATCCAGATATTTATTTAGCGAAGAAATCATGTTCCCTAACAACGGAGCGTTTATAATAGGAGAAGAGGACGTTCTTATTCGTGTCAATCCGTTTAAGGAATTCTTGCTTAACTTAATCGGGTGACAAATTTCNTTAATTAAATACATCATGTGAATACTTCCGTTTAAATTTTTTTTGCAGATCAGCTTGAAATTGTAGCTCAAAGATGGATATCATCATATCAAACAGTAATGTAGAAAGTTCTCTCGCATTCATGTCACAGTAGCTAGCTCGTTAAAGAATTTGAAATTTGGTCTTAATCAAAGAATTTTCCAATGATTTATTCTCGGAAAAGAATTCAAGGCAAAATATTGAACTTAGATTTGAGTGAGATTAGTTAGTTTAGTAAGTCTGTTTAAAGGTTGCTATTAGTCAGTGAGAATTGAACTGACTGAAGGTTTCCTTTTTTACCCACCATACGAAATGATTTGGATTAAAAAGTTAGAATTGTCCTAGAGATTACGAGGCTTCCGGAATAATTACATTCCCAGAACCATAAAATAAATAAAAATATTTTTTTATTTAAATGGCGGAGCAGAATTCTCTGAAGACTAAAAGAGGAAAGTTCCTCACATTTTTACTCACATACGCGTTCTCATACATATTTTGAAAATATGTTATATATATTCTAGAAAATTAATTCAAGATGACCTGTTTTAATTTCATTATTAGTTGCTAGTAAAATTGTGCCACTGATGCTGGAACAGTCACTCATATTTTCAACCTAAAAATCACACACAAACACGGATGTAGGGAAAAAATGTTAAGTTGAACGCACGTCGTTTCCTAAATACACATAAATAAGTACATACTTATGCTTAAGTAAATATACTGTTGTTAGTTCCTAACAGTATATTAAGTAAATTAGGAAGGTGGAAGACGGTCTCCTATTAGCCGCTAATCATGCCGGTTAATTAATATTGTCCCAGTGCATGGACACCATTTGCAAACATGTCAAGTCAGCAACCCCCGCGGCTTTGGCTTATCGTATTTTAAGTTTATTTGCTAATACCCCACAATAAAAAAATTTAGAAATTTTTTAGCTCTTTAATATTTAATTTATGTTTTACAGTCAAAAAGACAAATTAATTACGATATATCTATGTATTTCCGCATCTATGTATTTCTTATGAGAGTTTCAAACTCCGCATCAAACTGATTTAGGAGTCATTTAAGCTAGAGTTTGAAGTGCTGATAGGAGCTTCCTCATATCTCACCTTATTTTGAGGATGCAGTCGTATTGCTGAACGCAGCAATGTGAGACTTTGTGAGTAGCAAATCCCAGTCGCAGAAAGAAGTGTAACAAGGCACCAAGTGGCCGCTAATACCACTTTCAAGATAAACATGCATGTCGTCCCAAGGTCAGATTTCTTAGGTTTTATCAATGTCGAAGAATACACCGACGGAGGTTGCTAACCTTGCTACAAGGAAGAAATCTGCCACCAAGCTGCTAATGAATAGTTTCTCATTCCAAACAATCGGCAAGTTTTACGCTGATGTGTCCAGAATGCGTACACAGGCACACAAGTAATCTGTGAGGGCTATCGGTCGGTAGCTGGAAATGGTCTCTATTTCCCCAGTTTTAAGAAGGTAACATTTACTTTACTGCCAACAGATGTTTAACAAACTAAAATGTTACCTGGTATAATCCGGAAGCCGTCTGGATGAACTGATACAGCTTACCTTGATCTTCCATCATTCCGCGGCCGCATCACACTCAGACCTCAGTTGACGGGAAATCAAAGGGCTGGTCTGGACAATAATCGCGGAAGGCTCTGTGTAGCAGCGACCACACCTCTTTTCCAACCTTTTCAACACATTCATTCTAAAGTTTCATCATTCTACTCTTTTTCTTTATTTTGCCTCCGCCCGGGTGGCCCGGCCTCGAATGGACACAATTGCATCAGCCGCAAAACCAGCAGGCGTACTATCAAATTTGTTACCAACCACTAGTATTAATTATCAGACAGTCAGTAACAGCTTTCCAAGTTAAACCACCCTTCAGTGACGAGAAATTGGCCGTTATGGGTCATTAATTGAGTTTTGATTATACGGTGCAAGGTTTTCGAAATCGCTGCGCAGATTTTCGAAATCTCATCACATGCAATCGCTAAAGTGCTCTAAGTAACTCTACTGCCACTCGCGCATGTCAAGAAAATCCAGCGAACGTCTCCATTAATCGATCAAAAATATGAGCAACTGCAGCAAAATTATTCCAATAAATGATTCTTTACTTTCAAACGAAGACCCTTTTTTTAGCTGTTGTGTGCACGGTACTTTACAACCTGCATGAAAAATTGAGAAAGGAATGGAACCTTGATGGTGGTGGTAGAGACGAGTTAAGTCACGTATAATGGAAACGCCTTGAGAATCATAACCTAATAACAAATGGAAACAAAATTACTTCTCTTATATGATAAACAGGTACCTACCATGTTTTATAACATATATTATTAGATAGGACCTCATTTATATCTGTTAATATCTTACTTTGTATAACGCTCAGTGATGAGGGCCCATGCCTATTTCTGCGAGCCATCTTTTTGCTTGATAGATCTCGAAATTACAGGATGGACTACAATGTTTTCTGAACGAACTCTGTATAAACTGAGCAAGATCTGAACACCTTAGAACTGTAGAACAGCAACCGTAATCTCCAGGAAAAATGCGAGATGCACAACATATGACCACTCACGATCACAGATTCAGTTGTAGGTCTATTACTAGAATCACCAGCATCTCTGTTACGAGTATCACCAATACTGCCGTGTTTCTCTAGTATCAGAGCACTGCTAACTTGGAATTTTCATAGTTGTGTGAAACAAAGTAGGAATCAAACAGTGCAAAGTCAGAGTAAAGCAGTTTAATGGAGTAAAATACGAGTAAAAATGATGCAATCAGTATAGAAGAATCTGTCTCCCTTCTTGGCGCGCGCGAACTGGTCGCCCACAACACACAGGAACGTCCAGCCTAACAGCCCCCCAGACACGGGCTTCTCGGACATGCCGCCCACGAAGAAGTCTACGTCGTCAGGGTGCGCATAAATCTGGCTCAGCCTGCAATACAAGCAACATTAAAAATCCGTATATTTGTAATACAAGGCAAATAAATATCTATATATTTGCAGTACAAGTCATATGAAAATCTGGCTCAGCCTGCAATACGAGCCACATGAAAATTGGCATGTTTGCAGTACAGCCACATGAAAATCTGGCTCAGCCTGCACGAGCCACATAAGAATCTGGCTCAGCCTGCAATACAAGCAACATGAAAATCTGGCTCAGCCTGCAATACAAGCCACATGAAAATTGGTATATTTGCAGTAGGTACAAACCATAGAAGAATCGGCATATTTGCAGTACAAGCCACATAGAAATCGGTATATAAGTTGATGACATCGAAAGTAGAACACAAAAAATTGATTTGAAGAAGTATAAGGGGTGGAAAATTACACGGAAATATAAAATGTTAACGTTTAAATCCAGTGAGAAATCAAATAAAAATTAGAAAACATCTTTCCATAAACTGTCATTTGTGATCAAACCTTTGGCAAATAACCGCGTTATCCTTTATTAGTCATTGTATTACTTCATATAATGTTTTTTAAAACCTAAATCAAACTGCAGAAATTGGTTCTACTCTATTCTCAAACGATGCTGTGAAACCGGCATGCAATATTAACTCCTTTCGACACGCAACATATTTTTGCAACACTTCTCTTTAACTTCACTTCTTGTTTGTTTGTTTGTCTGTCTGCTACATATCTTATAATGAGTTATATAAATTGTCAACTCCGCACCACTCCTGCGATTGAGCGAGATATGCAACAGGACGGAGGGATATGCATAAACTCTTAGCATTTGCATGGTAGCAAGGATACGCTTCGAGGGCACGAGTTTCGAATAAATCTGCGGCGATGTCACAGAAAAAACACAACGATGCTATCCGTGAAGCAATGTGGGAAACAAATATGCTAACACGTTTACGATAAAAACAACTTTAATCAGAGAGCTTTGCGTTCATTTTTTAGCGCATTTTCTCATTTATGGAAAAAATGCCCTATTGTGCTCGTCATGTCCGTCCGTCCGTGACTTCACGTTTTCGTCGACGAGAAAATACGCTCTCTGTCACTCACTGCAGTGAGTACTGAATTATGTTTTTGGAGGTTACCTTGCGACGATGTCGTTGGGGATCTGGTCATTGAAGCCAGCGAAGTCCCGAGCGCGCGGGAGACCGCACACCTCCCTGATGGCGTTGTAGGGAGCCACGCCGTGGTCACGTCCTCGGTGAAGGTTCAGGCTCATCAGGTCCATGCCGAAGTTTTGCTGAGGTGTCTGGTACACAATTTTAAGGATTAAAATGTATTTCTACCCAATACACGAACACGACCGAGTACCGTGTTCATTCATTATTTACATGTGCGAATTTTCTACTTTCTGAAAGCAGGTATCAAAGGTGTTAAATATGATATATTCTCATACCTAATCGGTATTTTGTAGGATCTTGACAAAAATTCGAGCATACACTTATTAGATGTATATTTTATTTCTTAGATGCCTTTCTATACATAACTTGGAGCAAATAACACAAATAAATGAATGCCAAAATAATAAATTAATATGGAATTAGTAAATNCATTAGACAAAATCGAAAAGTTCAAGCAACACAATTCAATGATCTAAAACGTTTGTCGTCTGTTACAATTAAATGGGCAACCTACCAACGATGATGGGAAGCCATTCGTTGAAAAGAATGTGCTGCACTTCAGCGACGACGATCCTTCGGGCCTCCTGGAAGAGAGCCTCATCCGACCAGCCAGGATGCATCTGCTGGAGGCCGCGGGCCACGCGGTTGTGTTCGCGGTGGAAGAGCGTGTGGATCGCAGTCAGGCCAGGCTGTTCGTTGACGCGGGAGTCACCTGAAATTATTCCAAGAACACAAACTTTCAGTTTAAGGATGCACGCCGAAAAAAAAAGAATTCGACGTTTGCTTATTGAGGTTGTACGTACATGGCACAAAGCTAAGTCAATTTTTTATACTCAAAAGCTTGAGGGCTTTAGAACATCTGGACGATTTTTGACCTGGCACATGGGGTGAAATAAAGTTTTTCATGAAGAATTTACCCGATCATTGAAACTTCATCATTTCCAGAGTTCGCGCGAGAATAGCACGTCAAATGAAATGCCAATGATTCCATTATGTACAGCACAGACTAAAGGAAATTAGTTACGAGGAAGAACACTCTTTAAAAATTTTCTCCTGAAGGCCCCAAGATCCGCCCCAGGTAACACGTACCCAGAGTTCGTTTAAGAATACCAACCCAATGCCATTCCGGAAGCACTACCTTTGGACGACGACCAAGCGCCTTCCGCCAAGTCGCTTCCCGCCCATTAGGGCAGCAGTCGATGCCCCGACCATTGGCTGCTCACACACAACATGCAACAAAAATCATTTCGAAATAACGAATTTCGTTAAAAAAACGAGACAATTTTTCAATTAATAACCGCATGTTTCATTGCGCGATGAAACCTTTCAATCCGTTTTTTGGCGTACATTTCCGTGCATGTGAAATCTAAATATATACATCAAAGAAAATTAGATGTTCAATACTTTATGTTCTGGCTTACTTTATTGACAATTTAATTAGTTATTTTGGTTATTGTTCTCCGAGTAAACGTAGAAAATAGCCATGATCCAAGTTTAGACAGAGCCTCGCTTGCATCAACATGTTTTCTGAAATTTTGTTGGCATGGCCCCATTCGGCGTTCGATGAAATGGCGCTCGAAAAACGAACGTTCGGCGTTCGTTTTTCGTTCATTCGGCAAGCCTTTGAAAATGAAAGAATCAATCAAAACAAACAAAAAAAGTATGAATCAATATTTTTGTTCAGGTTACATAGAGCAGACCTCTTTTCGGGTCCCAGTTCAAAAGAGGAAGAAGTTACGAGGATTAAGATGGCCAGTGCGTAGGCCAGATGAACTACGTATATGTTCCCCAACTGATAACAGCAGCTTGGAACTTCTTCAAGGCCATCATCAGTCCTCACTGCATTTCTTAGTTCGCGTGGGGTATCTTTTAGTTCAGTTTCAGATCCAGATATTTATTTAGCGAAGAAATCATGTTCCCTAACAACGGAGCGTTTATAATAGGAGAAGAGGACGTTCTTATTCGTGTCAATCCGTTTAAGGAATTCTTGCTTAACTTAATCGGGTGACAAATTTCACTAAAACGCTTGAACGGCAAATTCTTGCATCTAATGTCAACCGCAGTTCTAAAAAGTGAGTGAATATTACGTACAGAAGTATGTGGTATAGTATGTATAGGATAAAATTAGACAATTATGCGAGGACAGTGTACATGTCGTATCGCCTCCAAGTTGTCGTGAACTTACTACCTTCCAAATCTACTGACAATTTACTGATCTACTGACTGAATCTACTGACAAAGTCCTTTCTGATGAGCTAAGACATGCGTTAGAATAACTTTTAGATAAAAATAATTGAACGGAACTTCAGCAAGTGATCTAACTACATAACAAGGGCATTGAGTCAATAAGAAGCAAGATCTACCTACCATGCATTGCATCCGCTCTTTAAGAACCCCGTTGTAGCGACTATTATTGACACCAGCTGAGACCAACATACGGAGACTGGCAAAGGGAGCGTGGGTGAGATCGTGGTCGATCCACTGCGCCCACTGCATAACGGAGAGCGTGAACTCTCGGTCAGGGTCGTCGCGGTCTACGAGAATGTTGCTGGCGACGACGCGCTCGAGGGGGAGCTCGGAGCCTGTCACGGATCTCGTGCGCGGCGAACTCACACCTGAGAAATTTACGATCAGCCAAAGAAAACTAACGAAACAATGCACAAAAATTAAAAGATAGATTCAGTGTAAACGTGAAAATATTGAATACTAATAAAAGTAAACAAAGCAGAATGAATAGGGAAGTAAACAATTAGTGTTCAAGACAAAGAACCCTAATGCCAAGAAAACTTTCTTTTCGTTTTCAAAGAGCAAAGTTACGCCTAAGGGCCTAAGGCTTACCATCGCCGTATACTGGAGGCATGACCCTCTGGAAGGATGTTTCGCTCTTGCCATATAAAGGGTTCTCCAAGTTGTTGCAAGTGCCATCAATACTTCTGTACTTTGCTCGAGGATTACACGGAGGTGCCCGTGGGCAGTTGTCAGCGAGGATGCTGTTACGCACCGGGAACTGACGCAGGCCATGGGTACCTTGAGCTGGACTCAACCGGAATCTTCAAAAAGAGCGAGGAAATATATTGAGAGAAAAACTCCTAAAACCCAGGTGATGAATATTACATATATAAATTACTAACAAAGATAAGAGTTGAAAAAATTTGATTCCACTTTAAAAGTAGTGAAATGTAATGATTTGAAGAAAAAAACGCACTCATTGAGCAATGATCGAGAGGCCTGGTTGACTTGCTGCGCTGCCAAGTCTGCCTGACGCGCGGTACGCGTCACTCTGAAGAACTTGAGGTGCCCGTGAGCCGGCGTGTCGACAGGCAAGACGAGGTTATTCCTGCAACCAATAAGACAATTAGGCGATCTATTCCTGAACCACAGTAGTTATATGCTCATTTCTAATAGCTGACGTCTACTATAAAATTCCTGAGAAATTCCTTGATTTAGGCTTCATTCACTCTGGTAATTAGTCCAATCTTAGGAATTTTGTAAGAATTACTATCAATAACAAATTAACAATCACTAAGATATTAGAGTAATTGATGTTCAGTGCGACTCGGCTGAAAGTCAACAATAAGGCTTGCGTATACAAAAATTCAATTATAAATTGAAAATATTTGTACAGGCATAATTCCAGTTATAAATTAATATTCATGTGTCTACAAAGCTACTAAGTATGGATTTGGATGAATAGATGAAATATAATCAAGCTCTACGAATTGGAACTCCAGCGGTTATACAACATAATCTGAGTTTATCGGGATTAAATAGTCTGAAACTCAACAAAATTCTAATGATCCAAATTCATGAGTCCAGAAAAATACGCACGCGATGAGCTGGGATTCGAGGTCAGTAACTTGACCGAGGAAACTGAGTCCTTTCTGGCAAGCCGAATTAACTTCGTGAGGAGACAAATTTCTCATCTGGACTTGCTGACGACGCAAAGTGAAGAGTCTGTTGTCGCCCTGTCCCACGCTCGGCTTGGCTGCACACGGTAATGCCATTATTATAGGATCACGATCATGAAATTGTTTGCTCAAATGTTACTAATTTACACGTAAGAAATTGAAAATTGAGAAAAAACGTTTAACAGCACGTAACAATTAATAAAAAAATAATAATGCCAGTATAAAGTTGAGAATACATTAGAAATTTAGAGTATTTAAAAGGGAATAATAATAGGTAGCCGAGATTAATAATAATAGGTAGAATAATACGAGAACAATAGGTAGACACAGTTATAAAATAATTTTCAAATTCAAACAAGCATCAACAAATTAAAGCCGGAAAAAATCTCACGCAGGACTGGGCATTTTCAAATTCAAACAAGCATCAATAAATTAAAGGAAAAACTCTCACGAAGAACTGGGCATTTTCAAATTCAAACAAACATCAGTAAATTAAAGGGAAAAAATCTCACGAAGAACTGAGCATTTTCAAATTCAAACAAACATCAATAAATTAAAGGGAAAAAATCTCACGCAGAACTGAGCATTTTCAAATTCAAACAAGCATCAATAAATTAAAGGGAAAAAATCTCACGAAGAACTGGGCAGCAGACGCCGAGTCCCGCGTCAGGGAGCTGGCAGGTGGTGGAGACCTGCTCCAGTAGCGGGGCGCACGCCACGATGGGCACGCAGTTCCCGCACTGGCCCACGGGGGCGGCTCCCCCTCCCTGGGGCCGACCTGGACGGCGACCGCCCTCGCTGATGCCTGTTCAAAATGATATGAATACTGTCATGAAATGATTATTTTATATTGAATAATAGATGGTAATAATAACAAGTTAATAAACTCCTCAGCTGTACGGTAATAGTTTATCAAAGTCACCGCGAACTCCAAAATGTTTAGTTGCGTAGCGAAAGTTACTCGGGTGATATCAAATGGCAGAGAATGCCTAGACAATCCAAAAGCCGCGTCTTTGATTGGCTTGCAACCAAGTGAAATGATATTGAACGAGAAATGTATTTCTTGCACCTACTTATTTGCACCTACTTATGGTACGCTATTTATATGCGTCTATATCGGTCCATTACTGAATGGAATTAAGGTTTGTTATTTTCGAAAGATGAAGTGAACATCCGTAGAAGTATCTGGGCATCGTTTTTGAAGATTTACGCTTCGTTAGGAGAAATAGGTACGACAGTCGTACAAATACGACTGCCATGCAAATCTTGGTATATCTTTAGTTTTATTATCTTATCAATTATATAATTATTATTATTACTCTAGGAAACGATTATCGTGATGTGTGGTACAAGCTGTTGCTTAGATATGTTATCAAACTATTCATTTAGACATGTTATCATGGACACTTTCTGATGTCACGCAAAGTCATACAACACGTGCGTCAAAGGTGAGTGGGAGATTCTAGTCACCATCAACTGTGATAATTAATGGATTACTGAACTTTATTCGTCAGTTGGAGGATCGCCATCCACTTGACCTCAGTCAACAGTGAGCTGAATGGCCACCGTACCCAGCCAGGGTTAAAATAATGGAGGAGCGATTTAACTCGATCACTTATTTATTACGTTTTCATCAGTCAATCTTGCATGATTGAAGGTAACTGCGCAATGACGACTGAACAGATAACCCTTGATAAATTAATTGTATCACTACCGGTACATGAGCAACAATCGATTAAGAAGAAAACTGAGGGGAAAATATCTCGATGGTCGCAGGATTAATTTAATTGTTTTATTAAAAAAAGAGAAAAGACGCATCGTTTTTTTCATCGCAAATCAGATGTTCATTCTTCAAATAACGGCCATCTAGGTCTCAAAATTTGATCACATCCACATCAAAGAATTATCTTCCAAATACTGCAATTAAAAAAAAATTTAACATCGCCTTGGCCAGTAGAGAAAGTGTCACCAACCAGCGAGATAAAATGGAAGGACTATCGTTAAAAGGATGTGTAAAAGGTAGTTTGAAACTTTTCATAAATTGTATGAGTCCATTTGTCTAAGTTTGGATTCAAACATTCGGAATTAAAAAATCTGCAGACTCGAGTCGGCAGACTCGTGATCATCTTCTACACTGCTCTGTCCAAACACGGATAGCAGTTCAAGGTTCCAAGCCTGGAAGCTACAGTGGACAGCTCAGCAGCCAATACAAAGAAAGTGCTCATTCAATTTCACGGAAGTTACATAGTAGCTACTGCGGACGATTTTAGAGGCAGGTTCTACAATCAAGTCATAAATTACCGTACATATTAACAGAGTTATAGAGTATAGAGTACAGTATATTCTGTTTTAATTATTATTGACCACTTATAGCGGACACTTTTTACCTCATTTGAAGAAGAGGCAACTTAAAAACAAGTTGTGCAATAACCTAACAGTGAATTGGTTCTTCTCAAGGCGCGAACAATTCAAAATTTTTTATATGAGAAAATCTCTTCAGAATAATCCCACTGAAGGTTTCAAGTAGCGACGTAACCATGATGTGGTTACAGAAGTCTCCACCACACTTGTATCGTTGGCCATGTTCAGAAACGCACCATTTTATCAACAAAACTGAACCACGACTTGATGACAAGGTCGAAGCGGCTTAGTAGCCATTATCTATGGGGATCGAACCCAGCAAATAGTACTGACCAAAATTAAACTGTTTTGTGCGTCGAGCGGCAAGTTAACAGCTTATTTGGTGAGTGCACATGGCGACTCATGAGTCATTGACGGTAGTAGACAATTGATAAGTTTCGATAGCATCCAAAGATTATTCCGTAAAGATACAAGATGTCGGAAGGCGTAAGCCTATCGAATTACCACAAACAAATATATATGGGGAGAAACTAAATTGCGGCTTAAATTTTCAGTTTAATACCCCATACATGGCGCCGTGCTGATAACGCGGATGTCGTGGGTTCGAGCCCCATACTGGCCAACATTGGAATGAAGGCTGTCCTTCATCGGGTACGTTTCACTCCCGCGGATACTTCAAACGTCAATGAACACCAACAATTTACTTAAATCGGAACAAGATGCAAAGGTTACAGTAATGGTTAACACACTACAACACGAAGCAATGATAGATCTGCGTTTACTCGACACACAGGTTAGCGGCCCTTCTCTGGTCCACATGCAGAGTGAGAAGTCGGACCACGTGGTGAACACGTGAGTACGAAAAGCTGCAAGGACGAGCTTGGAGAGTACTACCTCTAGTCCAGCCCATGAGCGATCTGTAACCCTACAAATTATAAATAATAATACTTGAGGACTGACCGAGACTTATCATTTAATCACGTTAATAATGGAATCGCAATATTACCAACCACTCAATAACCACTGAATATCAAATATGTGCAGCAGATTTTATTGTCTAACTTGATTCGAGTGAATGGAAGATCTTACCAATAAAGGCAGGGTTAGTTGACTAGAAACCAAAGCAAGTAAATGCGTGATGTTATCGTCAACTATGCCTAGAAATGGGCTGTTCACAGGAGGACTGCTCCGTATAACGACTGGTCTAAGGCCCGGACTAGCTCTCTATATAGTCGAGTGCTAAGGTCCCCGGTCACTCGACCAGATTACTCCTGTGAGCAACCCATTACTATGCATTGTTGACTATTACCATTAAACCTTCACTTACTTGGGTTTCTGATCAACTTACCCTGCCTTTATTGGTAAGATCTTCCATTCACTCAAATCAAGTTAGACAATAAAATCTGCTTCACATGTTTGATATTCAATGGCTATCGAGTGATAATATTGCGATTCCATATTTAACGTGATTAAATGATTAGTCTGAGTCAGTTCTCAAGTATTATTATTTATAATATGTAGGGTTACGGATCTCGTGTGGGCTGGACTCGAGGTGGTACTCTCCAAGCTCGTCCTTGCAGCTTTTCGTACTCACGTGTTCACCACGTGGTCCGACTTCTCACTCTGAGGACCAGAGAAGCGCCGCTAACCTGTGTGTCGAGTAAACGCAGATCTATCATTGTTTCGTGTACTGTGTTAACCATTACTGTAACCTATGCATCCAGTTCTGGTTTAAATAAATTGTTGGTGTTCATTAACGTTTGAAGTATCCGTGGGAGTGAAACGAACCCGATGAAAGACAGGCTTCATTACAGCGACTCGTGAGTCATTGACGGTAGTAGATGATTGTTAAGTTTCGTTAGCATCCAAAGATTATTCCGTAAGGATACAAGATGTCGGAAGGCGTAAGCCTATCAAATCACCGCAAACAAATATATAAGGGGAAAACTACATTGCAGCTAAATTTTTTAGTTTAAACCCCATACATATGAGCGCCATATTAAACTCCCATAGTTGGCGCTACAAGTATGAACGCGTTCAAGAACAGACTAGATAAAGCTATGGAAAAATATATCTTCAGATTTGAAATGCCTAGCACCATATCGAACCCGGTGGAAGTCTAGTAGCTTCTTGAAACTATCGTCAGTCATGAAAAGATCCGGTCAAATGACACGATTTTAGATCTTCTGTGAACAAGGCACAAAAAGGAAAAGAATCGGCGACAGGCCACATCAGGCCTACACTTCAGCGCCAAGATCAATATGTTATGTTATACATCTCATACATAAGTGAACACTTAAAAATACGTACCTTATAATGTAATCATTGTAAATTATCATGGTAAAATGTAAAATACTTCCAAAACTGTGTAATGCAAAATCCATTGCTCTGAATATTCAATATCTGTTACCAAAGGACAAACATTCAACCGGACTATCAAAGGTATATAAATACTAACAAAATCGAAGTGAGAAGAACTCGATGATCATGATTCTGAAAGAAAATTCTTGTAGCCGTTGAAATGGAGGGTGATTATTCAACCGCACTGTTGACTCAAGAAAAAATATACGAACTAGAATATATGAACTAATATAACTAAAATATACTTTTATGCCTGCTTTATATGTCAATGCAGAAGGGGAGAAGTTATAATATTCATTCCTATGAAATGTTACAATTTTGACACTGAATTTGCAAATAAACAGCTGACAATTGGAAAATTTTTCTGAAGAAAAGCATACCGGATTATTAATGAATTAACGGGGCTTTGGGTATGTTCGCTCCGTTAACAGTGAAATTCTTGTATCCGAGTTTGTTTCCACGTGCTTAGTAGCAGATGGACTTAATATTTCAATGTACTGCAATAACAATTTCACACAAGTTATTCGCAATTTCTACTACGGATAAATCTTTCAAATTAAAATTTTTTCAGTCAAAATGTTGTTCATTAATTTCTCTTTGTTCACCCAATAAAAATTAGTTATTCAGCTCAATTAGTTAACTTGATGTGTGAAATTAGCCTCGAAGAGATTCAAGGTCAGAGCTTCTACGATCACCGGCATTTGGTCATTGCAGTGCGAGTAGACGTGCATCCTATAGCTGCATCAGAGACGTGCATCCTATAGTTGCATCAGAGACGTGCATCCTATAGTTGCATCAGAGACATGCATCCTATAGTTGCATCAGAGACGTGCATCCTATAGTTGCATCAGAGACGTGTATCCTATAGTTGCATCAGAGACGTGCATCCTATAGTTGCATCAGAGAGACATTGTAGGGAAGAGAAAGCGAGGTCACCGGACATCAGGAAATGTTAACATGATCGGATATATAAACAATTGATTAGTGCGCAATGGAAAAATTTGCAGGTACCACGGCAAGATGACAGATAAATTTTGCGATGAAAAGAGACCACGTTCGCATTAATTAACTAGATTCCTACGAACTTTACATTCGTAACTAGAAGAGGAACATTCAAATTTAATTTAACAACAACATTTAAAAATTACACTTTAATTTAACTATAGATAGCAAAAGTAGAATGGTACTGAAAAGATGCGCAAGTCATAAATAATAAGATTTCATATGCCTGAAAAAGAAAGAAAAGTTAGTTGAAAAGCAATGTAAGACCGATTAATAAACCATAAGTGTCAAAAATAATGATCGAGAGGCATGTTTTCAATCGGTAAAAATTTTGAGATATCACTCACAAACAACACAACGTAGTATTTATCCGGTCAAAGATTTTCATAATTTTAAGAAATATACAGTATATCCTTTCCACAGCTTTGTACGCACACAGCTTCATATACACAGTCCCAATCGCCAATGGGCTGACGCAATATCAGATCCAATCATTTTGAAGAGAGCAATTAATAAGGTAGAAGTGTTGTTCAAGATTATTACTTTCAGGTGATTGTAATATGTGTTAAGAACTTTTCAAATAATTTAAACCCGAATTTTATCAATTAAATACTCGTAGGAGGCGGAATACTGCGCCGTTTGAATGGTAAAAATTTCACACACCTACATATAAAATGACTGGAATAGACTAGAGTAGTTTACCGTAATTTACATTGTCCAAGTTCAAACGTAAAGGTTAATTAAAACGAGAGATAAAATAGCTCACCGGGGAAACTGATCTGTCGGATTGCCCGATGTATGGGGAGTTCCGAGTCGTTCACTTTAGACTTGCACGACTCGTCCTCAGCGACAACCAGAGGGCCAGGATCGGCCGAGCCTTGCTGCTCAGCAAGCACCTCAGGGCCAGGCTCGGCCGAGCTTCGCTGCAGCGTCAGAAAAGCCGCCAGCAGCACCCAAAATATACGGTACTTGCGCATTTCTGCTCTTCGTTAACTGCGCAGAAATTATTGTTGTGAGGAAGTATATATTGACTTTCGTTGCTCGGTAATTTCTGGACAATTATTGAATTGAGTTTTAAGAACAGCACATACTCTACGAGTCTAGGTGACTGAATCATATGATGATTCCAGTCGAATTAACGGAATTATTCTGTAACACATTAAAAACATGTCATATATGAGTAATTTAAATCCATTGATTAACTCTGACTTTGCAAAAACGATCTGAGATTTAGAAGGTAAAATACAAATATAATTGTAAGTTTTCACTACAGATGAATTAATATCAGTTTCATTCGTTGTGTTCGGCAGGCCAAAATATAATCAAACATTGGCAATTATTGTACATTTAAATGATTTTTGTTTAGGCTATAGTCGATATCGTGTCTCTGGGTTAGCAGGAGAAAAAAAAAGTACGGTGACATTGAATTTCTTGACCATCAAGAAAAAATTAGGCTCGAAGAAAATACCAGACTATCTTTTGACAGCAGGTAAATAATTCAGCACACGTCAGAACAATTTGAGACGTTTCCTAATAGTATTAGTTTTAAAATCAATATAATGAGTAAACTGGTTATAACTCGATTTGAAGCCGTTTATTTTATCGTCATGCGGCGAAAGTGAAAGGCCGAGCGCAACCTGGACACCAATGCCTTTGGTACACACGCAGCGAGCGACCTACACGGTCAGGACAACTCTTCACCATCGCATCGACCCTGACCCAAACCCGCAGCAGCAATCAGCTGCAATGATTCCGTCGCTTGCATCACAAGCTAAACTTTCTTGGCAGCTCAAATAAAAGTTGGACTTTTCCATGAGCGATGACGTCAACACACAGAAGCGATCAGAGTGGGGCTACGGCTTCAGCTGCTGCAATTATTGCGCCGCATACATTACACGACTAACCTTCTAGGCGGCTTAAATAAAATTTAGGCTATTGCATGCAAGATTATGCCTACAGCGGCGATCAGAACGAGAAGCCTTGCATAAAAACGCAAAATATCATCTATCTACATCAAACAAATACCATAGCAGCATAGATAAAAGTGAAGCAATTGAATGCCAGATGACGCGAACGACCTATTCTTTAGTCAGAGTTCCTCGTAGCAGCGATTCGATTGAAGCTACTACAACAAGAACATGCGTCGTCGACCTTGCGTGCAAATCGGCCGTCGGACTGTAGACATGCGGCCATCGCACTTGCTACTATAGAGCAATATTGACGACTTATGCCATCAAGCGAGAGATCGTATTCGACCTGCTAACAAGAAAGGTCACACAATTTTAACCAGTATGAAGAGGAATATCCTATGCATATCCTGCACAATTTTGGGAATTCTCTATTTCCTGTTGATACGTTTTGCAAGTTAGTCCACAAATGAACAGCATGTTATAAAAATTTTGAGCAATACAATAAACCTGGATCAAAATAGGGCTTCATCTGATTTTGCTAGAACTGGGAAATTTGGACGCCACGCAAGTGGTTATCCCGTATATGCCACCCCTTCTAAGTAGGAGCATAAAGGCACAATGAGAAGGTATGTAGTTGCAAACTGCAATTGGCGGCTAAGTTAGGTAGGCTAAGACACCTCAGTTTCTGAGCCCGAGCCGAGTTTTTCCTACAACCAACTAGCAACTTGCAGTCTAGTTTTTTTTTTCTAAATAATAGCGCTTGATTTTTCATCATTTTAACCCATGTATATACAATTTTTTTACAAATGCTATGCCAGGTTCGGGCATCACGACGACACTGTTGGTACCTACCGTACCTTACTAAACTATTTGAAAAGCACACTTTCCAGCAAAGATAAGTTTAAGAAATCACAGGTGTGCAATCATGAAGTAAATGCCACACAAAATGGTTTGAAGCTAAAAAAATTCAAAGAGTGGGAAACTAGAAATAAATACTTTAATTAACACTGACAGACTTGACACAAAAACCTACCTACCGGCTACCTAAGCTATATACTACTCGTCCTGACCAAGGCCCATGACCTAACCAACGCAACCGAGACGCTAGAACACATTCTTGATGGAACCTAATTCAGCATTTCTACTAAACTTATCTCAAATAAACTCATTTTTGAAAGCTTTATCATATAATACGAGAACCTGGCAATTACTTTATAAAGCCAGTTAGAGACTGGACTAAAGTACAAACTAAAGTAGTTCAAGTATACTAAAGTAGTTCAAGTTTTTAATTAATTTTTATAGTTTTTTTAACATCGACAATAATTGCATGTAAATGATTCGAATCATGGAGATAACATATAACAGCTTTTATTAAATCCTTACGGTATATCGACCAATGCATATTAACTCGCATAGTACCTAATCCTAGGCTAATTCATGCATTGCATAGGACTGGATTTGGAAAATAACATTAATACCATCATGTTTCGAATAAAATTTTTGGGGAAAAATCAAGGAAGCGTTTTTACTCCATTTTACCAAACCTAATACAAATTATACACAATACATTGGAAAAACTGTTCAACTACTCGTAGTACTTGACAATATAAATCACATTACAATAACACAACCTCCCTCCAGCGCTTGCCGCTGGTGACTGAGAATCTGAGATTGCAGTCTGCCTCGTAGGCTCCCTGACCCTGAGTCCCTGTCCGTTGTGGAACCGGGGTTCCCTGAAGCTCCCAAAAGGCAAGGGCCAAATTTCAAAAATAGACTCAATTTAGTAACTCCATGTAATTGTCTTCAATGTAACCTGCTTAAAAGAACAAATTCTGCCAACCTATTCTAAGAACAAATTCTGCCAACTAATTTAGTAATTAAAAACAGATTCTATTATATATATTAAATTAAAACCATTTACGGAAGTGAGTGAGTGACGGAAGTTGAACGGAACACCAATTTGCTTCATGTTTTTTTTATAATTCATAAAACTTCTTTACGGTATTCACTGATTTAAAAAAATACAAATTCATAACCAAAATATCCAATGCAGTTTTGATGCCATTAACTTTTAACCTCGATCATATAGTTTTATCGATTTCTATTTATTATTAATTAATTAATATTTAGCGACACTTGCCCTGCCATGTTATTCACGTAGCAACTTGTTTTGAATTTCACCTCACTCGTCAGGGAAATTTTCAAGTCTAGTTCTAAAATCACCATGACATAAGCACACATTATATTACCAAAAAGTCTGACACACAGAATAATTAAATTTTATTTAACCGACAGAAAAATTTCCAAATCAGTGAGTGAATTTGGCCAAAAATGACCCATCCTTCCTGCCTCTAGCTGTGAGTGACTGGAGGAAACGGTAATACCTCGGCAAGTTTCAGCGGTCTGCTTATCCGATCAAGATGTGATATCTCATAGACCTAATTACCATAAGCTTCAACGATAATATTATTGATTAGCATTCATAATAAAATTGATAGAAGCTCTGTCTGTATTCTAATTAGGACGGGTAAACAAATGGTTGAGTGCTCATGTACGATTATCAATATTTGGTTATTTTCCTGAGTTTGCTAACCACACCCTAAAGCAGCCGATGGTTTATGCTTTGTTTTGTTAATTAAATGAACGATGAACGCATTGCTTTGTTTGGTCAGAATACGCAAATTTATGATACATATGTCTAATGTTTGAAATAGCTCTATTGGGCCTGTTTTCCATTGATTTTTCATCTTGTTAGATCACGGGCAGCAACTATAATTTGACAATTTTAAATTTACAATTTTTTACTAGACTGGTATTGAAGTACAAATTATTTTTATAATTGTAACATTTCTACGCTATTTTGCACATGAGCTTCAACAGTGCAGGCGCTGCGGCTTGTCCTTTTGTTGGCAAGTTATAATTAACATCTTATTATTAGATTAAAATCGACTTAGATTATAATTGACTGCGTATAAACGAAAGAATTTTCAGGGCATACACATTTAATAATGACTGAAAAATAGTGTCGAAATTCCATAACTCGAAGGGAATTCCTTGCCCTTTCATATGTTTAGAAACGAGACGAACTTATGAAGCTTAGTACCGATAAACGAAAACAATGGACTTCATTTAAACTTTCAGCTGAAATCCGGGATGAAATCTATACGAGACAAATCAAGGGCGTCAAAATATCACAATTTTTGGTTATTCATTTGGATAATGAATTCGTTTGAATAATGAATTCGTTTGAGGAATGAATTCAGTTGCATAATGAATTAATTTTAATAATAATGAATTCATTTGAATAATGAATCCATTTGCATAGTGATAGCATTTGACTTATGAATTTATTTGAATAATGAATCGGTCATCGTTTGTTCGCTCTGCCATTTGCTCTTCGAAAAATTTCAAGGTACGATCTCTGCTTCGTATCATCACGCACACTGATTACCAAAATAAAACAAATAAAAAACTTTTAAATACCACGTTTTCTTAACGAAAAAAAATTAACTCTTACATAACATTAAAGTTATGCAAAATGTTATGTAATGTTATATAAGAGCAAATATTTTCCTTTTTTGTCCGTTAAGAAAAATGTGGTGCTTAAAAGTTTTTTATATGTTTTATTTCATTATTTTTAGTTTTATAAACACCAGAAAAACGTGGTTTTTAAAAAAGTTTTTTTTTATATTTATTTTCTACTTTTTGTTTAGCAATTTTAGCAATTCAAATCAATTTCCAGGGTTGGCAAGTCTGGATGTTCGACAAAAAAAAAAAAAAAACTCGATTCCCAACCGTGAATTTTTAGGGTTTTATTTTTTTTCATTTTTTTTTCTAAAAAAATTGTTAAATCATTACTTTTGATAATCAAAACTTGAATCGTTAGGCAGCATAAGCACGCATGCCAAATTTCAAGTTTCTAGGATCTTCAGAAGTGCTCTATATTAAGGTTTGAATTTTTGATGACAGACAGAGACGAAGCGAAGCTAAGAAAAACGTGGTAAAAACGTGGTAATAACTAGTATAAAACAGCTTGGGTATAAAATACTATGAACTATGAATCCAGGAGCTAAATTTTGACGTGTCAAATCATCTGCGAGTAGGGTATTGTACGGTAATAATATATATATATATATAATATATTGCTACGTAGGCCGTTGAAAGTTTGGAAAATTCAACTAACAAAAATTACTGCTAAGTTATTTTTGCAGTCAAATCTGGTCTATATATTGCCCATTAATAATCGAGGATCCGACTTATTCAATCCATAGTCCACCTTGAGCAAAGTTTCGTCTTGTCTCGAGTCGTTATATTGAACGTTTTTCTTCGTTATATGTTACGTCTCACATCGCTGTATGATATGCCTCGTTTTATGAAATCTATAAGAGACACATCAGGAGCGTCACAGTTTCACAATTTTCGGTTATCCATTAGGATAAGGATAATGAACTCATTTGAATAATGAATTCGTTTGAATAATGAATTCGTTTAAATAATGAATTCTTTCGAATAATGAATTCGTTTTAATAGTGAATTCGTTTGAATAACGAATTCGTTTGAATAATGAATTCGTTTGAATAATCAATTCGTTTGAATAATAATGAATTCATTTGCATAATGACATCATTTGTTATGAATTTATTTGAATAATGAATAACCCATGCATACTGGCCTCGGTCATCGTTTGTTCGCTCTGCAATTTGCTCCTCAAAAATTTCAAGGTATACCATCTTTGCTTTGTGGCATCATGCAGACTGATTACCAAAAAAAAACTAGTATAAAACAGCTCGGGTATAAAATACTATGAACTATGAATCCAGGAGCTAAATTTTGACGTGTCAAATCATCTGCGAGTAGGGTATTGTACGGTAATAATATAATATATTGCTACGTAGGCCTGTAAAAGTTTGAAAAATTCAACAAACAAATATTACTACCAAGTATTTTTTGCAGCCAAATCTGGTCAATATACTGCCATTAATAATCAAGGGTTCGACTTATTTAATCCATAGTCCACTTTGAGCAAAGTTTCGTCTTGTCTCGAGTCGTTATATTGAACGTTTCTCTTCGTTATATGTTACGTCTCACATCGCTGTATGATATGCCTCGTTTTAAATTTTTAGATTTAAAAGTCATATTAGGGACGCGACTTTTGAATAAGGAAAAAATTTAATTGTACCAATTCACACCTTTACTCTCTGACAATTTTATCCCTTCTCTGATAATTTTTTTCAATGGCGTTTTTCATAACTTTTTTTCAATTGCGTTTCTCGCCTCGTTGATCTTGTCTGTTCACTATGAGAAAACGATTCCAAGACGCTGAGACTTAGCTTTTTCATTCTATATAGTAATGCATCACGTTAAGTATTTCTTCCTTGTCTAAAATTATTCTAAGATTTTAAAGATGGAGTCGAGCAAAAGAAGTCCAGGTTTCGTGCTATACGCGTGGCAGGATTTTCCAGAGGCTGTGTATATACAAAAGCTATAAAGCTATATATAGGCAAGACATCTATGGAATAATTCAGGGCTATACTGATGTCATCAGTAGTCATTAACGTCTCTCATATGATTTCTTGGAAATCGAATGGGGATTTTACCTTGAGAATTTACTTCATCGATATATTTGACATAAGTATTGCAATATCTTCAGAAAAATCCGGCGCCACATATAGGATGCACGATGATTAATTCAATAACATGACAGCACTTCGTTTGCGTGTCAAATGAAACTAAAAATGTTTGACAATCGATATATTCTGTTAATGACGACATATACGACGACATAATGAGGTTGATGAGACAATAATAAATATTACTTAACTCTCAATACTGCTAGGAATTTGTTTCATGTGCTACGTACAAGTAAATGATGAAAAAATTGTGTAGCTTCCTTCACTAATTTTGTGCTCGAATTATACGAGTTAGAACACGACGGCACAAAATTTACGTAGAAATATTCTGTGGTTTCCCCGACAATTCCTCAAGTTAAGAGGACGAATAACTCATATTACGAATCACTTATAGTTCTCTGCACGCATTAACGTCATAAATAGATTTGTTAACATGGTAGCTGCGTTAGCAGCAGGCTGGGTCTGAATTATTATTTTAAATTTGAAAACATTTCCTTGTACATATATATCTCGTGAGCCAATTTTTAATTGCAAAAATTATACTTGTTTACGAAACTCTTTATAATTTTTATAAACAAGCTCCCATTAATGTTTATTTATGAATTTTATAGGTACATTCAATTTTCCTTCACACATGAGAATCATCATTGCACACTGAAGGGAGACTTAATGATAGTATAGTATGGTTATCTTTCACTATAACTAACAGCTATGAATAAAATGATTGTAGCTGGCGCAATATAAATTCCTTCTTTGGCCCCAGAACTCGTACATGCGCAATCGTATTGAATCAATTTGTGAGTTAAATTATTATTTGTAAGAAAATATCTTTATTTGCGCGTCAATTTTGGAGCTAATGCGTTTTAGAGTTTGATACTCGTAACGCTGGAATTCGTTCTGATTTGTTGTCTCTAAATCGTCTATTTTATCACATTAGTATTGCACTTATCATAATATGACTAATTTATATCTTTGGTTCACTTTTGTTCGTATTTTATAACGTTTAAACAACGCTGCAAAGCAGATCCTTTCTCGCTAAATGGAATGCAAACGATGAATAAAACTAAAGTGGGCACATATCCATAGAGCAAATGTACCAAGATAAAGAAGCGAAATGAACTTAGTCATTCAAAATTATTCGATTAATTTATATCTATAGAATTAATACTGTAGTCGTTCAAAGTGCTAGTGGCTCTGCTCTGTTTCAGGTAGGAGGGATTGAAGTGACTGATATTATAGTGCCTTGAAGTGCAAGTAATTGAAGTAAGTTTGGTGCGAGTGGGAGATCAGAGGCCATACTTTTAAAACTCGCTAAGTGAACGTAAGTACTTACGCTCTATTTTCTTGGCTATGATTGGTGCATTTTGCTTGTAAGGCCGCTAATGATTGGCTGATGAACTTACGATCTCTTTAACTTTTTTCAAAGTATGGCCTCAGGAAACTATAGTCAGTTATGATGACTATTACTATGATGCAGTCTGAATAGCTTATAACTTCTGAATCCATTTTGCACTAATTTTAAATTCGATGTACAGGGCTTTATTTTTGTTCGTGAAAGTCTCCTTTGGGTTGAGGCTATTATAAGCATGAACGATATACAAATTAATATCGTTAGTACATCGTTATTGAGATCAATTATAAATGCAAGACCTGCTTCAAACGGCAAGGCTTTCTGCTTGTATTGACCCCCATTTATTGTTGTTTGACTAGAAGCAAAACTTTCGTAGTCGATAGAATTAGTTACATCGTAACCTAAAAGCAATTTAGTCAGATATAATTTTAATTTTTTGTAGGTTCAATATGTATCTGAGTATAGATGACAGTTGAAATAATTTGCTGAGAACAATTCTGAAGTTAATTAGTATCTGCGACGTAGCGAGAACTTCCAGACGGTGTTTGGTTTCATCTCGGCGATGTAGATGGACGAGGCGTCGGGCGATACAGCGACAGCATGCGGGTTGTGCAGGCCCTGCCAACAAGTTTTGTTGAATTCATGTTAAATGCTGTGACTTATCATATCATAATCAAATTAAATATTTTAGTTTTGAATAATGGAATCGGCACTAAAGAGTCAGCTACTGGATTTTGACATTGATTTACCAGCGACGATTGTAATTTAGTAGAAATCTACAATTATGTCACTATATATACATAACTTGACCTGAAGATTTAGAATTAATTCAAAAAATCTAAATTATATTAGAGGATTTGAAATGATGTGAAACCTCACGTAAAATGTGAGATCATTAAATTTATTTAAATTTCTTAAATTTAAAAATTGGGAAGAATATTTGTTACCTGCTTAGGCCTCCACTGGCTCATGACGTACGCTTCAGAAGTGTCGGCAGCGAAGGCGATGCCAGACGTTTTCTCAGCTTCACTCCCACCCACACCCAACATGATCCCAGCGCCTGAAGAACCAAAACTTAGATAGTCACATGTCCGATTTACTTAAAAAATTTTGGCAAAAAACGTATATATATCGTGGTGCGACAGTTCACCGTAACTTTCAATCCCAAACACAATTGTAACCATCGTTGATGCCATTTTCGGCACAGGTGGACGTTCATTCAGCGGTACTTAGATAAACTATAAAACAATAGTAAATTTTCCTCACCAATGGAGGCGACGTCGAACACGCGTCGTCCGTGCACCTCAGGGATAGAAGACACCACTTTGCCGAAGACCTCGGGCTCCAGAAGACCTGCCCTGAAGCAGACAATCCTCTCCGCCTCCCTGTCTGCGACGCACAGCACATCGAGGGGCTCGTCGAGAGCAATTCCGTGGGGCAGGTGCAGTGAAGACACCGTGTTCAGGGGGCTGCTAGTTCCTGCACACGTGGTTTAATAATGGCATTTGTTTTATATTTAAGGTTAAAACTTAATTAGAAATAATACGCTGCACCCAAACAGTTCTATATGTTTTATTGCGTTTCTGCCACCACGAGAAAAAAACTCGTTCCATTGTTCTAGGTCAGATCTACTGGAAGGTCCGTTTTGTGTGATTCATTTTTATACTTTATACACTTTAACCCAGACCATGTAAAAATTCTCGTACATCATGTATCAAATACGACATGAAAATTTTATCCTTTACCTGTGGTGCCAAACTGAGCCAAGAAGTCGCCGTTCTGGTCGAATCTCTTTCTTATGCCTGTCTCTTATACACATCTAGATGTGTATAAGAGACAGGGTTAAGCCTGACGTTCCAACAGTTATCCTACTATTGGAGCATAAGATTGAACAGCATGAGTCTTGATAAACATCCTGATGGATCATTATAAATCTAGCGTAATGAATCTAGCATGGCGCGTGCCACGATCACAAGTTCGGCACGCACGACACACGAATTCGTGCGTGGCACGATATCGAGTTCGGAACGCACGGCGTTTGAAATCATACGTGAAGCGTGCCGCGATCAGGTGTTTAACACGCACGACACACGAACTCGTGCAATACACGTGGTGAGATCACGTGTTTTGCACGCACGTAACACGAATTTGTTCTTCGTGGTGCACGCTGCATTTCAGTAGATCAGCGGCAGTCTTCGCTCATCGATCCGCTGATGATTGTCAAGATGCTCTTCGCCATTCATATCCCGTCCACTTGGTGGCTGCCAGTGGCTCAGTGGATTACCGCTGACTGCCACTTGATGGCTACCAGTGGCTCAGTGAATTGCTGCTAAATGCCACTTAATGGCTGTCAGTGGCTCAGTGAATTACTGGTGACTGCCACTTAATAACTGCCAGTGGCTCAGTGGATTACCGCTGGCTACCACCTGATGGCTGCCAGGGGCTCAGCGGAGTAATTCTTGAAAATCCGTACCAAGCCGTGAGATCTAAACTTGAATCGACTCCGGCCTTTATTGTTCGTAGCAACGTATGTAGCTATTAAGATTCGATTGGAAAACGTAACTTAAAAAATTAATTGTAACTTCAAGAGCTTTATTAATGGAATANTCCCCGAGGCTCAGTGTCGGCGCCCATTGCAGCACTTCTAGGGGCTGGACCACTTCACGCGGGGGCGTGTACACGGGATACGGCATTGGCATCTGCAGGGCATGAAAAATAATTTGGAATAATGCTCCGTATGAATTAAACTCCTTGCTTCTACTTTGAACTAGGCGCCACGTGATCTATAGTTGTAAACGCCTCGGTCCCCTTTTGGGTGGCAACATTACGATATCAGGCCGATGATGAGCCAGAACTTGAATGGTTAGTTAATAAAGAATTTATTGTCATGAATTACATTTGTGTAACAACATGAGCCTTACTTCTACTATGAAATAAGCGCCAAACATTATAGTTCGGATGTAATATAATACATTTTGTACCCTGAATCTCCGCTTGAGCAGCAACATTACCAAGTCCGTCTAATGTTAAGCCTAAAGTATATACTGAAAATTTCTTATATAATATTATTTGTCTAAATAAATGAATGAATAAACTCACCCGACTCATGCGGTCTCCCAGTCTGCGTATTGTCCTGATGTATTCACTCTCACCGTGGTGGGAGGGGTGTAAGTAGCGAGCATGACACCCATGTTGACAACCTAACACTACCACCACTACCAACAACCACCAAACTGGGGTCTTGGTGGCACAAACCTCACCACAACCTCGGCCAACCATGCAGACCGAGATTGGTATTCTTTATCTTTGAGATAGATATATTTTTTTATTGTGAATTTCCTGATAAAAAATGAACTTTTAGTTAGTGCTTCAAAAAAATATAAAAAAATCTATACCGTTCAATAAAATTGCAGAAGGCTTGTTTTTCCTTGATAAATAAAATAATTTGCAAAAATTGGAATATAATGGTTCTATGAGTATCAAGAATTGTTCAATAAATTGCATATGGGTAGCTAATGGAAACAGAAATTTTCTTTGTACAACAATGTAACGTAAGCGAGAAGCTGATCCTTTCTTTATACAGCGATATGAATGGGGTGTTCTTGTTTTTAGCGCATTTTCTCATTTATGGAAAAAAGGCGCTTATGTGCTCGTCATGTCCGTCCGTCCGTCTGTCCGTCCGTCCGTGACCACGTTTTCGTCGACGAGAAAATGCGCTCTCTGTCACTCACTGCAGTGAGTACTGACTTATATTTTATAACAAGTCTGTTCACTGGAAATTATGTTTCTGACAGTCGTGTTAGGAATTTGGATGCATGGAAATTCGAACAAAAAATATTTTACCATATCCAAGAAAGAAATTCTTTACAAAGTCATTCTCAGATTTTCAACCGATCATGAATAAAAGCTGCAAGTCCGCTTATTTGCTTTAATTTAAAAATTTTGCTGAAAAGTTCAGATAATTATGTATCTTTTTGTTAAAATACTGCAATCACAGTTACGAATGACATAAACAAACAACAAAATTACCAGCGAATCCATTGAAACAGTCCACAGCAATTTAAACTATTCATAAATAAAATATGGCAATAAACAATTATTTAAGGTACCCTTGAATCAATTTATCGTTCAACGCAATAACACCACAGCTCAGCGGTCTCCATATGCTGTATGCTTGCGTCAACGGCTTGATCTCGCGTAGTTCCAACGAACGATCGACCAATCTAAAAATAGCACACCGTAGTTCTCACAAACTCCTTGCTTCTCGGTATTAGATTATTGATTTTCTCTGCTACATAGACGCCGAGTTTGGATAAAATTACTAGCTGTGCATATTAAACTCCATAAAGCAAGCAAAAAACTCCCGTTCAAGCGTGTAGTAAATTGTATAAGCTGTATGCGGTACCGTCACTGAGCTTCCATCTCTGCCCTAACTTGGCTGGCACTGATCCAGCACTGCGGTGCATCGTACATACGTAGCGCTCTGCATGAGGGTGAGGTCTCTCTTTCTTTCTCCATCATCGACCCTCTGTGAGTGACGTCATTGGCACCAGGACGACCGCCTACGCAAGCAATGCAGAAAGCAATGGCAGCTTTAAGTAGGTCCCGTTAAACTACATGTGTATAATATGAAAGAGAAATCTTATGTTTCAGCTATGGAACTTCAGAATAGTGAGAACATGAGCGACCTCTAATTAAGTAAATTTTTGATAAGACAAAGATTGAATAATTTTCTTATTTTCTGTATCCTTGAAACTGCTTGTAGCTACAGATAGAGATAAATTTGCATAGTTTTGGAATTGGGAATTTATTGGGAATTCGGCTTCAAGTAATTCGAAATAATGGATCTTGGAAGGATAAACGCATGCAGGATTTGGAAGAAAAATGATGGGAATGTCTCAACTTACGCAATTTTCATTCCACGGCATGCTTTGATCCCGCTATTTTCCCAATGTAGTGAATCGAATAATAGTTCAACTGCCTCTGAAACATATTAAGTACGGAATGGCACTGAGGAAAAAGAAACTGACGTTAGAATGCAGAGTCCCGATGTCAAGAAACCTCCCAACAACGGCGGCCATGGAGAAGAAAATAAAAATGGTTAAAATACGAAGAAAGATTCGGAAAAATTCACTGAATAAATGATTGAATGCGTGGCAAATCTTCAGTAAATCATACCATCTAATAAACTGCGGCATTTTCTTACTTCTACTGCAAAAAGCGGAGACGACGTTTTGCATCAAGCTAACCCACAGCAAGCACAAGATCTTGACAAAGCTGTTCAATAGACGCCATCCAGCAGGAATTCAACAAGTCATCGCACATAAGATGCTGAAACAACGGGAGTGCTGCTTCATGCGGAAGCGACATCAAAAATTTATCGAGCAGAAATAAATGATTAGCAAACGAACTTAAATGAAACGATAATTGTTGAACAGTAGAAGAAGATAGAGGAACTGCAGGAGTAAGTGGCATAATTGTTATATGAGAGGCATCAATCAGCAAAGCAAATTTCCGCCGCTGCAGAGTCTGAATAATAAATGGAAAAGAAAGAATAGCGGATCAGTACACTGTTCGATGATTTGAAAGATAAAAATTAAAGCTTGAAAAGGAAATTGAAAATCCTTACATCTGAAAACCGGTTATTGAAGATGGAAAAGGGTGAACTTCAGAGTGCATTGAGTTCTGCAAAGTTCTCTTCCAGAAAATGTATGTGTGAAAGAAAGGAAAATAGTGAAAAATTCGAAAAATTGTGAGCTTTTTGTATATAAGTAAACTAAGTTTCCCCGTGATCGCTGCTGCTACTACTACAGTACTACTGTACTAGTGTACTACCATAGTAGTACAACACCTGACGTTGAAAGTTTATACTTTATAGCAATATTCTAGCAGTTCATTGTTCTATTCACAAACTTTTTGGTATGATATGAACTCTAATAAACCCAAACTAGGGAAACAATACACCTAATATTGATAAATTATTTCACTACAATAAACAATGTAATTTATGCGTGTTGTGAGACTTTTCGCTTTTGACTTTTCCGGAATTGCGCGGTAATCCGCTATCTGTCAGTCTGTCACTAACATAGGACAAATTCTAAACATTGTTTAAAGCGGTCTATTTCATTATTTGTACAGTTGTACTTCCGCTAAATGGCCAGTCAGGCCGGCCGCCAGAGGGTAATCTATTTGACTTTATCCGCGAAATGGAAATTTTTTATTAATTGAGACCCTTACTAATAATTTGTAGGTAGCTTCTTTCATTAATAAATTTGATTACAAAAAAAAATACATCAGCCGAGAGTCTGCCGATCGGCGCAGCGGTCAGCCTCAGTCGGTCTACTTACTCAGTACCTAACTTTGCAGTTGCATTTCAAGGTATATTATAAATATCAACACTATCTTGATGTATTGTATGGATAAAAGGAGTGCCAGGCAAGATTATATTATATTGAAGATTCTGTTACTGCTAACCTGCTAGGTTGAGTTGAGTAGGTGCTGGCCTTCTGCTTCTACAGTTTGTGTTTGGTTCTAGGTATTACATTTACACTTATTATGAGATAACATAAACTCATATCATGGAGTTCCAATTCACAATGACTGAAATCAAATTTTTTGAAAATCAAAGTTGAGAAGAATACTTCNTTCCTGGTCTACTTATACTTATAGAACTCAAAAATGATCTTGAGGGAGAGTCTAAAAAACTCTCTGCTTTGCCACTATGATTCCTTGATTTATACATTATGATTATAGCCTATGAAAGCAATTAGGCAAGTGCCACATTGCCATCAAACTTAGAAGATAACATATTAAACATAGCCTGATTAGCCTCAAACACAAACCAGAAGAAAAACAGAAGTAGGTAGTGGATCTTTCTCAGAATGGGAGCTGATTTGAAATGGCATCTTAACTGCAGTCTGCAGGTAGTTAGCTAACTTGAAGTTAAAGTGATATTAGAATTGCAAATTGTTGTCATACATTTAATAATCTGATCTGAATAATCTCTACCTGTTATCAACTTATCAGCATTAGGAGTAGGATGAACATC